AACGGGTAGATAAATAAGGATCTCACCGAATTTGGTGGAAGCTGCATCTCGCTCGTTATGTTCGCCATCGTCCCTCTAATTGTCTGCACCTGCGCTTGGGTGCAGAAGCCTGTTAAAGGGCAGTATTTTCAGAGCCCCAAGACCATAAAATTCTGAGACGCTGATTTGCTATTAAATTATTAAATTGACCTAGCAATAGTACATGATTGGCAGATTCTCTGCAAATGTGGGGCAGTCTGATCAGCGCCCCCAGAACAGAGACGGTAGGAGTCTGTCTGTGGAAATCCACAAATGAATGACAGTAGGTAGGGAAATGTAGTTTATATAATTTGTTTTGCTTATAGGTACACAGTCTAGAGAGTAAAACTAACATTTACGAGTTAATTTCTAAAAATATATTTTACGTTTCTCTCTTCTTATCAGGGAGGGCCGGCCGCCACTGGCTCCACCCCTTAATAATGCCAGTATCAGGCCTGCTATACCCGATACTGGCCCATTCCTCTGAAAAAGGCCTCCCATTGTTAAGGGGTGGAACTGGTTTTCAATTTTCCTGGAATTCAATGTTAATCCAGACATTTTGAAGTCCAGTGGTTTGTTTTTCCAACTTGAACTTTATGGAATGACTATGACCTGGATGATGTTAAAGAAAAATGATAATTTTTAGTCTTTAATACGGTTAATCTTATGGCATGTGTAAAAGGTATGTTGTATACTCTCCTTGTGAACACATTTCTTAATTTTGAACAAGTTTGTGAAGATAACCTTTCCTTGAACCAAAATACTGAATTTAAGTTTGTTCTTGAGATTTATGGTGAGGCCCCCGCATTCCACAAGCTGTCTGTGAAAGCTTATCTTGTGTTTTATGACTTTAAGAATTCTAGATGCCAGGACAAGCTTTCCGCTTTTTCTCGCTAAAACAAAGAAGCAAATGACCCCAGATGTTTGCAGTAAATTAGGTGAAGCTCTAGGCAGTGTCAGAGATGGCTCCTGGTTGGAGGAGCAAAAGCCAGCCTTATTTGAATAAATTAAATACAAGAGGATAAAACTTTCTACATAGAAGTAACAAATCAGATTTGCTCTTGCAACTCTCCAAAGATGTCTTTGTACGTCTTTGCTTGCTTTCCTCCTATGTCAGGTAATAGAATGTATGTCTCCGTTGTTCTGCAGTTTCTGGTGTAGGTTTGTGCATTGTCTTATTTTTAGGTTTATGCATTGTCTTAATTTTGGATTAAACTCTGTAATTCTGTGACGTCAACACGCAATGCTGGTTTTTATTACCACACGCAGCTCGCCGAGTGGACCTGGGAAAGGAAGAATGAAAAGCCAACCTTTTTCCAAAGTTAACTATTTTAGAATATTTTCTTCCTTTAACAATGACTGGGAATCTCCACCAGCATTTTCCTGTGTTGATTTGGTTATACCTTTAGGATCATTTTCCTGTCAAAGACCCCTTTATATCAGTTTACGTATTACGCCCAACCAGTTTGTGTAGAAATAGTTGAGCTATTTGAATAAGCTCATAATGTAATGCACTCAAACAAGGTTTCAATTGTCTTTAAAACAGAACAACCTCTGTTCAACGTGCCTTTGTTCTAAATCTGACACAAAAGCTGCTGCACTGTTCAATCTGAAGCTGCCATTACAATATTTCCTTTTGTTTGACCACGTGAAGATTTTAATACTTACTGACTTGTTCGATTCAATATAAACAATGTTTTCAAGTTCCTACATAGTTTCAAGCATCCTGAGGTAAGAAAATACATTTTAAGCTGTAGTTGGGTGAATTTTTTAATCCTCCAAAACCTCTTTGCATTGTGGGATATCTGGTGATCAGACTGTGTGTGCTTCAATGCTAAATGCATAGGAAGGCGATGCCAGAGTTTCATTTTCCAGTTGCACGGTGTCTCTCACTACCAGAACCGTCCCAGAAGCACGGTCAGAACCATCAACTCATTTAGATTCCATAAATAGTGTAATTATGGTACTAAAATTGCTTATTTCTATACTTAACTCATTAAAGAATTTTAAAACACATCTTTATAAAACATTTTCTGACTTTTCTGAGACAATTTTAATGCTTTTTAAATTTTTTCTGTTAAACTGCTTCTCTGATGTCATCATGGGACACGCTCAGAGCAGTCTGGCAAAATAAGATTAAACTGTGTTTATTTGCATTTTAGTTGTTTCTTTCTTTACGTTATGCACTATATACAATAATGTTAACACTAAAACAATGAAAACAAAACTCAAAAAGACTAGATTTATGTTTAAATCCAGCACCGAAAAAGTTAGCTTAGATTGGGCAAAGATGACTGATAAAACAGAAAGGATTTTAGGGCATTTATTTGCTTAAGTAATACATTATTAACCTTTAACACATTGTAGTTTAGTTAACTTACTATTTTTGGGGTTTGGAAAAACATAATTTAGTTGTGTTTTACTAAGTAGAATCAAGGGTGACCCGGATGTATATTTTGTTGCGCAAATGGGCGGATCGTACGGATGGTACTTCCGGGACGGATCGGGTAGTGACAGTGTCTTCCAATGCGCAAGAGGTCAAAGGAGGATGAAAAAACGAAGAAGTCTTATTGGGCCAAATCAAAAAGCTCGGGTCCTAGTGGAATAAGTCAAACTCTACATGCTAACGGTGGTAATGACAGGAAAGAGCTCGATATTAAGAATCACAGTAGTTTTTATTGTCGGGAGAGTACAAATTTCATTGCATTTGCCCGCCGGGCAAGTGCAATCATCGCAAAAAAAAGTTTTTTTATCGCTCAAAATTACTTTAAAATCACAGACATTCGATGAAAACGACCCAGAAGCGTTGCCGGCGCCATTTTCGTGTTTTGTACACATTGCCGCGTGATTTGAAAAAGGTGGGTGATTTTCCGCCAGATGCCATGATTTTTTAGCCTGACGTAGTCCTACTCAATTCTAGTCAGAATGAGTCTGATGCTGCTCCATAGAGCTGTGATTATGGGGCGTGTTTCGAACGAACCAGGAAAAAAAATGCCTCTGCACTCAATTGGATAGACCTACAACCAATAAGAGCAACGGAGTGCGTGACGTATGTTAAGCGACGCATAGTTGTTGTCAACAAAAATCAAAGCGTGCAGTTGCACGCCTAGAATAAGAAGATGAGACTTGATCGCGTTTCTCTGTTCCTCTTTTAAAATTAATTTGCTGTCGATATCTTCTAGAACAGACCTAATGGCAGAATCTACTCACCTCAACTCTCCGGCGGCAGCCATTGTTGTTGTCACCCAAGCGCGCTTTGGTGACGTGGTTAATTACGTTACTGTTGATCATCTGTCCATCATGGGATAAAGCCCACCCTGACAATTTGATTGTCCCGCCAGATATTGTGCTAGCATACTCGCGCTACTATTGAGCAATGCCAGACCGAACTTCCCGACCTCAAACGTTGTGGGCGGGACTAAGTTCGGAATGGCACCCAGGGCTAGTGATTTTTGTTCACCTAGCGGTAATTTTGATGTCGTTACCAAAACGAAAAACGAGCTAGAAAGCGCTATCATATGGCAGTCTTCTGTACAGTGATGCAGGTCATATATTAAAAAATGTTCATTAATTTTTTTCTCTCAGACATTGGAGAGGTGCATTTAAATGTTATAGAGCTAAACATGTTAGATTGGTGACCTGTTATGTTATTATTATTGTCTTTTATCAGGGAAAACTAATCCTGAGTCTGTTTAAAGTCAGGGAATTCTGAAATGATGTCAGACTGTGGAAACCCTGAATAAAATAACTATGTTTAATGATTCTCTAGAAAAGTCACATTATATTAATAGTATTATCTTGTTTAAACATAAAATAAAAGTTATTCATTTGTGACATTGACTTCTGTCTTGTGGTTTATCTTAAGTTTTTAACCTGTCAAGTTTTTTTTTAGATTTTTAACATTACAATTTATATTTTTCCAAGCACACAACAGTTTAAAGCAAAGTTTAGTTTGAAAAGAATGTGCAGGAAGGATTGAAAAGCATGTTAACACGGTAATGTAGGCTTGAGTTCATTATCTGACGCATGCAGATACACACCAGGAACCTGGAAACTTAGAAAATACTGAATTACAAAAAACATTTAAAAAACAAACATGTTTCAATGATATATATACAAAAATGAATATTAGGAACTATATTTATCAAACATTATACTGGGCAAGTAAAAATTGTTTCTGGGCAAATGAAATGTGAAAGTCACTTGCCCGAATCCTTAACGTCAACCCCTGGATCTAGTTTTTTGTTTCTAGCCCGCTGTCCTTAAGATGGCACTCTTTGTTACAGTTCTCTAAAAGTGAGGTTTTCATTTGGTGAGATGTTTGTTTATCACAGATTTTAAACAGTGAGATTATGGAATAATAATAAAACATTAATGTTTTTAAGGCTTTTAAAATCTTTAGGGTGAGGGGCAGGAGGGTAGTCAAGTTCTCTGCATCTATAACCTTCATATACAAGTTCTGATAAGCATTAACAGGATAACGATCTGCTCAAACACCCCAAATACAGAATATATTTTACTGTAACTCCATGCAGATAAAAAAAAAAATAAGATAAACATAAAACACAAAACATGAGTTCCGTGCAGTCTGACACATGGCCATGCAGAGTTTCACCCGTCTAAGCACTGCCAGGCAGGCTTCGCTGAGCAGACTGACATGCCACAGACATTAAAAAAGGCGTTATTCCGAGAAACCATCAGATGCAGGCACCATGGAGCACAGGGAGCGGGAACGGGCCATCACAAGCAGAACCATCAGCACAAGACACCGAACAAGGCACTGAATCCCAGCAAACCTCTCAGGGCTAACAATCAGATAAACCTGATCAGATGGATGGGAATACAGAAACAGGTTTAAAGGTTTTTAATGCTGTACAACAGGAGATTTTATTCCACTAGAGGAAAAGTGAAAAGGGCTGAGAGGTTTGTGTGGGATTGGGGAGGCAGGCTAAGGTGGATGTCCGGGACACGGGCGATGACACTCGGTCACTCACTGGGTGTCGCTTTGGGACGTCATAGACCCCTTCCTTCTGCTGACTGGTGGGAACCTACACAATCAATCAGTGTATTGGGAGAACACCCGAGAGAGCCGGTTACCTCCAGATCAATGAGCAATAAGACAATACACATCCATGTTCCAGTACAGCCACATACAGTAAGGGTAGCCAAAACCAAACCCTGCAACTGGTTTACTGTTGCTGGTGCAACAATTGTGCATGTGTGTGGTGCTGGGGTGATGGGGATTAAAATCAGTGGAATGAAAGCTGATTGACTAGGTTAATAAAGGCCTTATCCAGGCTGCTGATCACACCCTCAGACATGTAATAACTCACATTGTCACACACAGAGACATGTAATATCTCAGTGTCAGACAGACTGCTTTGTATGTCTGCGAGTAGAAGATGCGATGCCACAATGCATGCATGAACCAAACAGCTTCTTTTGTTTCCTCTCTGCACTCATGCAGCTACAGTGCCTTTCAAAAGTATTCACACTCCCTGAACTTTTAAATTAATTTTTTTATTGCCATTTACTCTCTGCATTTAACTCGTCCCCTTGGGGAGCAGTGGGCTGCCGTTGTGCGGGGTTCCTCAGAGACCCAGAGTGGCAGTCTGTGGGAGTGGGGTTCGAACTGAGAAACTATGGATTCCAAGCGTAAAGGCCTAACCACTACGCCGCTAACCTGACTCCGCCAGATGGATTTGCTCCGCATATCCATCTGGTAACCTTCCATAGAAGTAATTTTGGGAAGGGGCGAAAATACTGGTTAGCTGATTGGCCTATGTTGGTGATAGACGGGCCAAATAAACCAATCAGATCAACGAAGCATATGACGTACTAACAGAGCGACGACCAAGAGGAGCCAATTGATAGATCAAACTCTTGCTGAAACCAGTCGGGAGAAGAGCAAAAACATCTTTTCCTCTGAGAAAAGCCTCCAGAGCAGTGTTTTGCTCTTCTTTCAGTGAAGAAATACTCTGTAATTGCGATAAAACTTGCTCGATAGCCACGCTAACGCTAGTTTCATCGGCTGAAGCCGCCATGTTCTTTAGACTGAACTGTCGCGCTTCTCGTTGCGTCACACCTTAACCCGCCTCAAAGCCAACGCTGATTGGACGTTCGTTTGGTGAACGGCTCCAAATTTTCTTCAACGGAGAGTCTCCAGACTGATCTGCGAGTGAAACCTCGAAAGCTCGCGAGATCAGGATGGTCTCACGAGGCTACTACGCCGCCACTCTGCAACCTGAGACTTTATTTCAACAAGATATCTTTGATAAACCAATGCAAATCGATGCAAAGTAGTAAAATAGAAGGATTACGTGGTTTTTTTTACTTGTTTTTCTTCACAAAAATGTTTTGACATGTACTTGCTATTACTTTTTGCCAAAAATACTTTTTATTTCTCTATAGAGTCTGACTGGAGGAAAAGTATCTCTGGAAATATTTCAAACCAAGCCACCCGTTTTCAAATGGACTTTGTGACTCTTCTTGGCTTGATCTTTCAACGGCTTGAATAAGCTTTGATCTCGACCATCCCACATGGGATGTTTAGTGTTTCATCTGGAAGGTGACGGCAAGACGCTATCATCAACTCCTAAAGGTTCAACAATTTTCCATTTACCTTCTAACAGCTCCTCCTCATAGGTCAGATGATCCACCCGGAAAAAAGAACAGATTTGTAGCATGCATTGCTAATAGATACTCTGTAGCTCCCCCAAAGACACCCGTCAGCTCTGATTAATGATCTTCTTCCATGGCCTTTCATTCAAGGATCTGATATTTAAAGCTCAGGATATGGTTTTATAACCTAACCATACTTTAAACTTCTCCATTTAATCTCTATTTCTTTCATGCTAATTGAAGTTCTTTACCTAAATTTAATCCTGTACAGACCAGCAGAATGTAGAGGGAGATAAAATTTGCACTCTGATAATCAGATAACATCTGAGGGAAATTCTTTGCACTGGATTTTATTTAGGGAAAGAATAAAGGTGGTTGATTACAGCTGCAAACCCTGGTGTTTGGATTTGAATTAGTCAAAGGCTGTGAGAGCCATGTCTCCTTGCGTTATAAAATCTGAAATTAAAACATGAGGGTGTGTGGTTCCTTTTGCAGGGCACTGTAGCTGTGCTCTAATTAGAGCGACTGGTAAATGAAAAATGACCCAAAAAAAAAAAAAATCTGGACGTAAATATAGCACAGCTTCCCTCATCCAATCACCTCCTTTCAATGCCTTGTTTACATCTTTCAGATGCATATTTGGAGAAGCTGCCATCTTTATTCATTCTGCAGCTCCTCTGTGGCTGCAGGCTGGATGAGCCACTCGTTACTTACAGCACGCCCTGATGTATGCGTCGGGATTTGCTTGTATGTGTGTTTGTTTTTGTATGATTGTGCACGTGCCAGCGCACCCCACCGTCCACCCCTCCACTTTCAATCCGTTTTATTTAAAGATCAAACGAGGGGCTGGTGATTAATCTCTCTTCCCCCTCCACTTTCTTTCATCTGTTGGTGAACGTGGGGAACGGAAGCAGGGTTAACACCCCGCCCCCCTCCTCTTCCACCCACCCACCCACCCAATCATCCCTCGCAGGTCTGCCCCAGTCTCTGAGGAGCAGCGGGAACGACTCATCTCCCCAGACTTGCAGGCTTTAGCCGGATTGGCCCTCGGGAAAATCTTGGCTGCTACATTTCAGCCCATATTTACAGCCTTTTACTCCCAGACTGCGCATTTTATGCTTTAAAAACAGAAGCTATTAATTTTATGCACAGGCCACAACACATCTACCCCATTAAAGAGCAACACAGCCTATAAAGAGTGTCCGGAAAATGGAAGAGATTAAATCTCCAGAACTTTAAATGCCTTCAGCAGCTCGTCAGCAGTTTACTGACAGTTACTGTAGTTTAAAGCTAAGCAAGACACAAGAAGAGGATATGAGCTTCTGAGTACCTGATAAATGCTTTCCTCTGATTGGTCACGGATGGGTTCGTGTCCGGCCTCAAACACAATGTACTACAACGTCAGCAGCAAAGGGGGGGATAGAGGGGAGAGAAAAAGAAGAAGAAGCAGGAGGAAAATTGGGAGATAAAGAAAATTGAGAGAAAAGTGGGGAAACTGCAGAGGTGATTAGTAAAGAGCATCGTCATTAAAAAGCAGTTGAAGAGCAGATCTCTGCGATACATGGAGGAGACTTTAAGCAGAAGAAAAAAACAACATTAACACACACTTCAGCTACACATGCACTTATTTCTGAGGTTGCATTGGCACACAAACTCAAACGAGGTGTCGCTAATATAAGCAGAACCTCTTCCCGTTATTCGGTCCACTACTTCCATAATGTCCCCAAACAAGAGCTGTCTCCCCACAGTGCACACAGAGAGGAGCAAACTACGAGGCAGCAGGTGACAGTGAGGCGATGCGATTGGTCAGGGAGTTACCTGGTAGACCGGGTCTTCCAGGTCCTCCTCCAGTATCGTCTGAAGCGGAGCACCGGAGGGAACGAAGGAGGCAGAGAAAAGAAAAACCGGAGAGGAGTGAAGCAAAGAGTTAAGCCGTAAGCAGAAAGACTTCCCGGCATTCAGATAATCGTCGGGTAATCATTAAAGAGAAAATTACAGGGAGATAAAAAGAAATTAAGCAGCAGATGTAAAGAGGGGAAACAAGCACAATGGTACCATTACCGGAACCTAAAAGGGTTCACACGGCTTTCTTCTATCTAAATTCAGTTCTCACCTGTCTCATCTGTCAAAAGACTGTGGTGTAACGCTGGGAATGCTTGACAGATGGTTTAAACAAGAAAAAAAACCCAAGAAAAGCTTCTCGAGTACCTGGTAGACCGCCTGCTCACACTGCTTGTCTTTCTGGGCCTTCTTCTCCTTCTCCTCTCTCTGCTTTATATCATAAATGAGCTGGAACAGGTCCCGCAGGTCCAGAATCACAGGCTCAGCCTAAAACCACAAGAACACACGTTAACCAATCACACCCATCTAAAACTCACACATCGCTGCTCCTGGCTCCTGGTTCCCATAATCATTGACTAACCTGAGGTGACTAAGACCTGATTGTCCTTCAACTCAAAGCTGATTACATTCTGCTCACAATTTAATGACATTTACATTTATTTAGATGATAAACACCAAATGAAAAGTAATTTATATATACTTATGAATGGAAGGAAAATAAAATACAAAAAAGTGCTGCATTAGCTTATTCCAAGCACTCTTTACATCAATCCCTAAAAAATCAAGTCAATGAAGACAAAGGAATTCAGGTAAATAATAGATAATAAGTTTTAAAAAACATCACCTAGAAATGGAATTTAGAAAGGAATAACTGCAAACTAATGCATAGACCCTACGTTAATAGACATGCAAGGCGAGGAGACAATAGATTAGGGAAGCAGGTGAGAGGCCCATGGTAACTCTGGAGGAGCTGCACCGCTGAGCTGGGAGTGCGTCAATGTGATAACTATTGTTGTTCTCTGCAAATGTGGCTGTTACAGAAGAGTAAGAAAAAAATATATATTTAAAAGAAAGCTATAAGGAGTCCCAAATGCACCTTTTGTCGAGCCGTGTAGAAAACACAGCAAACCGAGTCTGAAACTCGATGTTCAGGGCCAGAAAAGAATGTTAGGTAGGGATAAAAATTCCCCCAATGAAATAATGTGATGGCAGCATCATAAAGTGAAATTAAACATTTGAAATGTTTGTGTTTCAGCAAGAGATATCATGAAAGGATTTATATCAAAGCAGAATTATGTGTCAGTGTCCAGAATAAGACATGAGTCCTTCTAATTAATGCTAATTTAGCCCTAACATCCAATCTCAATTTAAAACGAAGCAATTTGCAAAGAATATGCAATATCTGTTACAGACTTACGATAAAAGACCTGCTGCTTTTATTGAAATAAAGTTACGGACTCAATCATAGGTGGGCTGGTAATAAAAGCACTTTCAGATTTAAAGGTTCAAAGGGTACGCAGGATGTAGAAGAAGCATGAAGGTTGCGTCTGTTCTTCCTAAAGATGGCCGCCGCCTTAGCAGCCTTAAAATCAGACAGAAAAGAAACAAAATGGATTATTTCCCCCTGAAAAAAGGAAAAAACAGAGTTCTTTGCACGACTTGACTGAATGCATTAGCATCAGGAAAACAAACAATGCAATCAGTGGGTTTAAAAAATTTCATTACAGGTAATGCAGCTCTTGAACTGATTGCTTTCAGAGCGACTGTGACACCGCTTCGGAAATGAAACTTAGCGATTGAGTTTAATACATTTTTGCTGTCCGGTCCTTGCGAAATGAAAAGCAGGTTAAAGCCCTGCAGCGCAAAGAGACAGGACATTTATCTCCACAATAAATACAAGCTGTGTTCCTCCTCTCCATCAGCGTTGGACAGTTACATGGGCAGCTACCATCCTCCTGTCTTCCTTATGAAGCTTTTAGAAAGCAATGGCAACAAACAGCCTTTCAATAAACATACAGCCACAGTCACAGCAGAGCGACCGCACAGTGTCTCATAGTACAGCCGTGTTAGAGACCTAATCAATTATTGACTGCAGATTTGCAAAGTGCACTCAGAGTTCATAGACTGAACAGTGTTTTGCATAAAGTGGCTCTACTTTAATGTTGTCTCCCTGTGAGATATTCTCAGCTATTCCACTTCTGGTGACAGACAGACACGCTGCGGTAATCTTTCTCCCCGACCGAGCCAATAGTGAAAGATACTGTCACTCTTTCAAATTCAAATCCGCTTTACATTCCACAATGCACGCCACGTCAGTAGTAGAAGAATAAAATACAGAGCTGCCAACCATGACCAAAGTCTACGAGTAGCGGCTTAGACAGGCGACGTTTTTGATTCATGAGAGCAGACAGAACAGACACAATGCATTGGGGTGGTTTGATAGCTTTCACCTTTATTTATTTTGGCAGAAATCCAAACTATCACCCCCAAAGATACCCGAAGAAATAAAGAAATATAGATAAGAAATTAATAGATGGATCCGTCTCAGTAGTCTTACTACAAAACGTTTCAGTCGCGCCTTATTTTACTGTCGCACAGAACATATTTCAGTTTATTTAAAACCATTTACAGAAACTGCTTGTGTGCATTAGAAGCCACAGAAGCCATTGGGAAAAATGAAGCAGGTTAATGAACGCTGCTCTCATTGGAAGATTCCAACAACAGAACTTTAAAGATAAAGTTGGAAGGCGCAAAGGTTCTTCGATAAGGATTACCAAAGGCCACAGTTCATAAGTTACATCATTTCTAAACCTTAAAAATAGGCTGTAAAAGGTTGTGTGTTTTACTTTATGATATTAACTCTATGAGCTTCATCTTTTTAAAGATTAACAACTAAAGCGATTGGTAAGAAACCTCTGAACCTGATCTGGATGGTAAAAAGAGCTTTAAAAAAATATATTTTGTGTTTTAATTTCAGCATTTCAGTCTATGGAGAAGACACTGAGGATGCTGTTGCCTAGAAAATGGTGAAAATAGACAATATTTGATCTTTAAAATAGTCTTAAACTTTGCTTTATTTGCAACAGTAGGTGTTTATATATGGAAGTCATTTAGAAGACATTGCATCCTTAATTCTTTAAAACAAAACTGCACACATACTTACAGACTGCCTGATGTATGCAGCCTCCAGAAAGACCTACTTGGTCTAATTAACTAATTTCCAAGTTGTTTCATTTATCAGACTACAGCTGCGTCGGGAGTTTTTTCATTCTCAACAGCGCATCTTAAAGCCGTTCACTGACACACTATGACTACAAATTTCTACGCCTGTAGCTCACTCTAGTTGCATACAAATGTTTCCAAATTAAATTACAGCATCCTGTTGGCTTATTACATTTCATTTCTGTGTTTTACTCTTTGTTTTTCACCATTTGCAAGTAAACATGAGAGATTCCTAAGGCCATATAATACTAAATGTGTGTGCAGGAAATGAGAAAACAAATTAATGAAGCCAAAAGTCAGCATTTCTACAGCAGAAAAATAATGAACATTGGTGAAAAAGAGACAAATCTGTGACAGCTGCCAATAGATGGATGTGTGAGTAACGCCAGGGGATGGTGACGGCATACAACAATGTGTGTGTCTGCTTATATCTGTGTAAGAATTCTTATTAGGTAAAAAAAATGATGAAGTAAAAACTATTAGTACAACATTATCGAATATTGCTTTATTTATATAAACACACACACACACATATATATATATATATATATATATATATATATATATATATATATATATATATATATATATATGTATATATATATATATTTTTTTTTTTAAGTCCCAGAGATGCGAGAATTTTCGTCAGTCTAAAAGTGTCAAAGCAACAGATGAAGTGTGTGGCTGAGAGGCAGTAATAATGACAGAAGTACTTTATATCAGCAACTGGACGTCTATATGAAAACAAAGATCCTTCAAAAACAAGATGTATTCTGTTTGAAGGTCTATAAAATATTTCCGTTTGTTGCTTGGCCTGATACTGTTGCATGAGGCATAAAGAACATCTGCATTTCAGAAAGTGAAACCATTCTAATGGTCAAACATGGTGGTGGCAGTGTGATGGTTGGGGGTTGATTTTGTTGCTTCATAATAAGGTCATCTTGCAATAAGTATTGCCAACATGAATACTGCTCTCCTAAAGGAGAATAAATAAAAAATAAAATAAAAAATTAAATAATAATCACATAAAAAATCCTTTTTACAGCAGTGCTCAATCTGGTGTTTTCATTAGTGGGAGTCTTTTTGTAGAATTCTACGCTTTGTATAAACCTGAAAAGCTGCTTTTTATTCCTAATATTAACTTGGGTAAGTTTTACATCAAGTTATAACAAAGACTGAACTCTGAGGCAATCCTTTCTGACACAATTAGGGCTCCTCCATCGGCACAAAGAACAGACCAAATAAGACCTGTCTTTCTTGTTCTGGGACTTTGAGCAGTAAGCCAATTACTTTTGAATGTAACCCCAAATTGGCCTTTTTCTGAGCAACTTTAAGTCTTAGACTTCCTGACGACAGAGACACTTTGTTAATTCACATCAAAGTGGTTACTTTCCAATTACAGCCACCGCAATAAGCTCTGCTCTTTCATCCCTCTCATTGTTTCCTCCACCACTAACAGCCTGAGTGCCGGTGATGGCGGGTTCAACTCCAAGAGAGACGGAGTAAAATATAATTATGACCTTTCCTCGGGCACAGGTACCAGGTAAATGGCAGCTTAGCTGAGCGAGGAAAACACAGCTCTGTGATACACCGTTAGGCAGGGCGGCATTGGGAAAGCAACCGTTTTTCAATCACGCCGTGCAATTGTGAATACAGGCTGAGGTGTGTGTGGGGGAATCAGTCTAAGTCAAAGAGCCACGGTTCATGGCCCTGGGAGGATGGATATGCCATTAGAGCAGGTGACACACACTCAAACCCTCATTGACTCAGTATGGGAAATCAATATGGCTACAGAGCAAGGCAGCTGCATCCAGATAAAACAAGCCAGGCACACAGATACAACAGCAGCAACAACAATCATATCAGAGCACAGAGAGCTGCTGGATATGATGTAGAGGATGCTGCTGCAGGACTGATCCAGACCTTCTCCCTAAAACTGCAGCTATCAACAGTAAACTGCGTTTAAAACGCAAAATATGCATGAGCTAAACAGAAAAGGGTTTGTTGCACTGAGAAAGGATCTGAAACAATCAAATATTTAACTGCACGCAGATGTACTTGTGAAAAATGTCATAAATATTTATCATTAAACTTAAAGGAGTCATAGAATGATTCTATAGGGTATCTGGTCCTTCAGGTCTCTGAATAGGGTGTATAACATTGGTTGGGCTGAAAATGACATATTAGCTGTTCTATGAGCCCTAATGCAGCCTGGTTAAAAGCTCTAGAATGAAACGACAGGTTTTCTTCTTTTTATGGTATGATCAGGAATATTTAGATGAGCTGTGGTCTGATTGGTTGGTTTACAACGAGCCAAGCTGCTGAGCAAAGACGCCTCATAGCAACAAGCACTCACTCACTGAAACATCAAATAGTTGATATGGTAGGGGGACCAGACGTCCTCTTTTTCCTGGACATGTCCTACTTTCCAGACCTAAAAAAATGTCTGGGGAGAATTTCAAAATCGTCTGGGATTTTGGTCGACTATGGTGCAGCTTGCAGTCGAAACACACCGGGCAACGAACCGAGCCGTGAGTTCTAGGGCTGGTCCGGGAAACCCGGCGGACAGGGGCAGGGTGCCAGCACTGGACGGAGCGACCGAACTTGACCTGGTGAAGGTGATCCCGTGCTTTCCCTTGCCTGCCTTACCGGCCCAAGTCCAGTCAGACCCAAATACGGCAACATCACCAAGTTTATGTCAACTCGGCGCTTCGTTTGGATTCGCCGGTTTTATGGTGGAAGTTTAGAATAGTGAGATTTGCAGAGAAAGGAGGTGTTGATGGGGTTTGACCTTTTCTTTACGTCCATTTCACCCACTGAACTATCATTATTCATCTATGACGATGGAAACTCTGTTTTGCATTCTATGACCCCTTTAAGGTCTTATTCATTTGGGACTCCAACCATCCCCTGGATTGCTCTTTTTTTCTGATGATGCTGTGGAAAGAGTTCGGTATGTTTAACAGCTTTAACTTGATTCTCCAAACATTCTTCTTGTCCTTGAGGCCAAAGAGCTCAGCATTTCTCTGCAGAAGGAATTTGGCCTGCTGGTGTTGGAAGCTGCAAACGTTAATTTTAAAGCAGACTTTTCATTCTTGCCCAACACCTCAGTCCATGCTGACGTTGGACTTCAGTGTCAGCTGTCACACGGACATCCTCCCGTTTATGACGAGCTTTTACGCTGGTGAGTTGTTCTTAAAATAATATAAAAATATATAATTGAACTTTATTGATCTCACATTGGAGTAATTTACCTCTGCATTTAACCCATCCCCTTGGGGATCAGTGGGTTTTGCTCAGAGTGGGAGTTGAACTCAGAACCTCAGGATTCTAAGCTCTGTGCCCTGACCACTAGGCCGCCACTCCCCTTAGGACAAATCTTTGTCCACTTAGGATGAAAATCTGGGTCAAATAAAAATCGGTCCCAAACACACATGAAAAGGAGCTCTACACGATCGATAAAACAGACTTGAAAGGTCTGCAGCAGGAAAAACAGGTCACTTACTTCTAATAAGATCCATAAAACAAATTCAGCTAATTTTATGCTGAAAGTTTGTTGATGAAATAAAAATACACAACATTCTGTTTCTATGGAATGTTTGTTATATATAAATGATTTTATATAATGATTTCCGCTATGACATCACCGTGCAAATATATTGTTCAGGCCTATAATCAGTCAGTAAAACATCCTCGCCTCCCATGGTGAGAGTATTTTTCACCAACATTTAAAATTCACAAGCAATGTCTTAACACACAAGCACTGACCGACTGGGCAGTCTTGATCGCCACAAAGCGGTGGTTTCCCTCCTTCCCACAGACATAACCGAAGGCTCTATGGTCCGTGATGTCCTTGGCGATGTAGGAGATCTCATGGACAGCATGGTGGTGTTGGAGGATCTGCAGAAGGAAAAAAAGAAGCACTTCTATGCTTGTTTTTCTTGCAGACAAATAGAAAGAAAAAAAAATCGACCTTTTTATACTCGGCACCAAACCTCTAAAAGCATAAACTAAGAAAGTGAAATTTCTTTTAGACTTAGATCACTTTATTAATCCCATCGGGGGCAATATGTTTGAGGTGTATAGGAGACAAAAATATAAATAAATAAAAGAAAAATAAACATGTAATAACATAAAAAATAAGATGATAAAAATTAACAACCCGAAATTTATTTTACTGAGATCCAATGAACACCAGAATGGAAAGGTAAAAGCCTTTTATGCACATATATTGGACAAAGAGCATCTTTAAACCTCAAAGTTTAGGTCTTTATACATTTTTTTTGTTTTGCAGTTAGATGTGGACTTTAAGCCATTCACAGAGAAAAACATAATTTGATGTAAATGATTTGTTATGGTTGGTGTCCATTTGAAAGACAAACTTCATGAGTCTTTTTCCAGGATAGCCCAGTATTTAACCCCATCCATCTTCCCATCAACCCCTCTTATTTACTATCAGGTTGAGAGCAGGTTTGAAGAGGACCCGAATGCAGAGACGGAAGCTGAGGTGGTTTCTTGCAGATTTAATTATCCAAAGGGCAACAGAGCAAAAGTCCGAAAACAAAATACAGAAAAATCAAAAACCAGGAGAAGTCAGAGAAAGCAAACAGGAGGAGCCAAGAAACGACGAGGAACCGAAGAGGAGGAGTATATATGTCAAACATAACAAAGACTTGGCTAATCAACTAATCGGGAACAGGTGTGGACAGAAGAAACTAGAAGGGAGCTACGAGAAGGAGACTGACACAAGAAATACATATCACTCAAATACAACCACAAAACACCACGAAATAAAACCTCAAAAAGAAAAATGATACAGAACCAAAACCACGACATTTACACAATGAGGGCAAAATGCATAGAGAAATGGAAAACAGACAGGCACAGATATGAAAGGTGGTAGAAATGAACACAGTTAAATAACTGACACAAAGTGTACACCTAAATAAATATATTTTCACATTTCTTTCTCATTCAAATGTATTTATTTGATGTATTTTTAACCGAATTAATTTTATTCCAAAGTATTTATAGAGCTTTCATTTATTTTTGTATTTATTTTCAATTACGTCAGTGTTGGTGCTCTGTAGTTCCCATGTTTGATAAAATACTGAAAAATCTTTAGGGAAAGGAAAAAGTTCCCCAAACTCCCTTAAGAGTGCACTTAACCCTTTAAAGCCCGATCCAAGAATAAAACAAAACAGAAAATTACTTTTTTTTGGTTTGAAGTCCTTATTTGACCTTTTAGAAAAAACAGAAATACATTTTTGATATTAATAATTTATTACTATGCGATAAGTCAGGATTATTTTTTTTGTCGTCTTCTACTGGCTGTTATCAGGTATATCTGATTGTGTACAATAGGATTTTGAGCAAAGTTTTTACCATTAAATTATGCAAAAGGTGTCAGACGCAAAACATTTCAGAAACCGTACGTATCAAATATGATACATTTGGCATTACAGGGTTAAACACAGGCGCTCAGATAGACCTTGTATCCTTTAGTGAATTATTTGTAGCTCTTCTAGCTCCTGGATGGGACTGCCAAGCCGGCATCGCCCATGGCAGATGGCACTGTTTGTCCCCAGGATAGAAGGGGGGGATCAGTGACAATCACAGCTCTGCAAGCTGTCGGACTTGATCACTTCATCTGTGCCCTCGCTCTCCACACACACACACACTCGCACAGATTCACAGCTTAATATGCAAAGGCCCTCTGTTAAGTCCCACTAAATGTCTGCTTTGTTATTGTCGTCTGTGCCAGCTGCACGCTGCGAGGAGAGGCATGCAGTCGACATAACGATCCAGTGGTCCTTCAGTTCATCATAGGGGTTGGAGCTCTGCACTTCACACACTAAACACACACATCTGTTCTCAATCCAGAGGTGAGACATGGCGGGGAGGAGTGACAGCAGTTTAACATGGGGCCATGAACAATCACACACACTGTAAACCCCAGCAGAGACAGATAATCGCTGTAAGAGTCATGTCTTCTAAATTTAATAATTAGAGTAATGATTATTATTATCACCTCTGATTGACCTGGAAATGACAGCTAAGGCGTTGGGATGCAAGCGCGCACACACACACAAACATGCACACGCAGCTCATTTACAGAGGTTATTGAATTATCTGGGTGGGCAGTGAGGTGACAAAGAGAGACTTCCATTCAAAGAGCGTGCACTATGAAATCACTGCATAAATTCAATTACTTATCTTCTTCTTGGCAGCAAGTAAAACTTCTACAGAAGAATCAGTTGGTATGTAGAGTCGTCCAATCAGATTACCAGCTTTTAAAAGTAAAGGGTTGTTATTCTGGACGGTTTTCAAGCAGCGGGAGTGTGGCCATAACAGCAATATACAACAGTTAATAACAAGCAGGGGGGGTTTACCATCAGGCAATACTAGGCAGCTGCCTAGGGCCCCAAGTTCCTGGGGGCCCCATAAAACTGTTTACATTAGGGCTGCAATCAGAAAAACGATTATTTTAAAAATCGATGAATCTGCCGATTATTTTTTCGATTAATCGATGAATCGGACAAAAAATATTTTTTATATTAACCTCTTTATTCCAAAATAAACATTTTAGACAGAACAAACAAGCACACAAGTACAGGTTGCTCATTAACTGTCCTGGTGCAATATGAAAAATAAATGTTTGTGTTAAAACTACGCAAACTTACATGAGAAATGTAGCTGTACATCCACAAAATATAGGCTACTTTGTTTCATAAGGTGCAAAAAAAGACATTTTTGTTTTTAAAGCCCCTAAGCGGTTCAAACAATAGGCCCCCCCATTTCAACAAATGAGGTTTTTTAGACTAGAAGAGTTCTGCCTTTTAAGACAGGAAAGTATAGCAGTTAAAGTTGCTACTTGAGAAAATACTGAACCATAGAGATAAAAATAGCCCTGTGATTCAAATTATAAATTGTATTTGGAATAAAAATGAGAGAACTAGGGGTGCTAAAAAACACATCCTCCAAAGACAGATATTTACAGGGGAATGTGGCAGATAATTAATTGACATATTACTGATCTTGCTGGATTTTATTCTGCTTTACTTCCATAAATTGCAGGATCTTCTTTACTTTATCTTTGCCAGAAGATTTAAACTTTAAAAGCCTTGCCCTCATAATTTGCAAGTTAATTTATTTATAAAGAAAATATAAACGCTGCTTAAGCTAATTCAAATGAAATGAAAAGTAAAATAAGTAGCCAACCTTATCACTGTCTGTAACCTACTAACAAGGTAAGGAAAGCATCAGATGAGCTACCTGAGAAACTAACGTTACGTTTCCCCACTTTAAAACCAAACAAACATGGCCGCTCACCCTCCTGATCAGCTCTCTTCACTGCCATCGAAGGCTCCAACCTGTTTCCTTTTCAGGTGCTGCATCATAACAGTGGTGCTTCCGCGCCATGTTCATTTGTTTTTACAAAAGTTGCATGTTACGACTTTTTTCGCTTTACAAAGCGCAGGCTGTCTGCGAATTGAGACGCAGCTTGCGTTTGGGATATCGGTCATTAGAACAGTTGACGTTTCTGCCTTTTGAAAACAGCCTTTTGCTCACCTGCGGCGCTGGCTCGCTCTGCCGTATTTTTTTTTCTTCCCCCGTTTCAGTCAAGTGGCAGTGATGACGACGGCGGCGGATGACGCATTAATTGCGCGACACAACTAATCGATGATGAAATTCGTTGCCAACGCTTTTAAAAGTCCATTTTTATCGATTTTATCGATTCGGTGTTGCAGCCCTAGTTTACATGTATAGTTAATACAACTATTAATTATGTTTTTGATAAAAATCCTTTTGCTAAAATGTTATCAGAACGCTTTACATTAAGTGTGTCTCAGCAAACAAATAATATACGTCTATTCTAGTAACATGTCTAGTAATGGGTCTGTTTTATGTGTTTTCTTCTCAATTCAGAGTAGGGGTGGGTATTGCCAAAGAAGTCACGATGCGATTCTATCACGATGCATCATGATACTTGAATTATTGCGATGCATTGCAATATTTTCTCCTCCATGTTTTGTTTTTGAATGACTCGGCACAGTATCCCGCGGCCGGAAATGCTTGTGACACAAGGCAGTGTGCGTCGACACATTTGCAGCGACATCTACTGGACTGGAAGTTGTATTACACTTGTTTTTGGCTGTTGTTCGCCAACCATTCATGCAATTTTATTTATTCATTTTTTTAAATTAATAATCGATACTTGGCGTCAAGAATCGATGCAGTAGATCACGAAAATTAGAATCACGATGCATCGTCATGACGATTATTTTGCACACCCCTAATTCAGAGGGCCCCCTACCTGTCTCTGCCCTAGAACCCCATATTTCGTAAATCCGCCCCTAATAAAAAAAGTTAATAAAAAGTCAAAAAAGAATAAAATTACAATTTAGGTCAACTTCTTGACATTAAACAAAACATGAGAATGTTGGATAAAGAAAAAAATACTTGAAAAGAATTTAAATTATATGTAAAATGAAAAAAAAAAGTTTGAATCAAAGCTGCTGACTTGATTTTTACAGTTTTTGAAAGTTGTTATAAGAAGCAAGAAAGTTTCAGACAGACAGAGAATAAAAAGATTTTAAAGGAATCCTCCAAGTTGCATATAAGCTGCTGATGGATGCAACCAAAGTGGGCGCGCACAATGTGGCTACTTATGGCTGCTGAAAATAAATAAACTGCAAATTAAAGACGTATATAGGTGCACAGATTTAGATCAGGCTTATGTGTGTTTTTGACAACATTGTTCACCATAACAAGCATGAGAATAAATAGCTAAGAAAGGCAGCAGAGCAGAAATAAAAATAAATGTTATGGATCTTCTTTCTTCCACTAGTGAAAAAAAAAAAATGTTTTAGTTTTTTTAATGATAAAAACAGTTTGAA